TTCTGAACAAACTATACTCTTTTTTTACCAAAATTCCAGTCATAAGACTTACCCCACCAAGTCTCTGTGATGCCAATTAAACCATAATTTAGATTATGTACTAATACTTCCAGTTCTTCCTGTTTATTCCCCATACTCCTTGCACTTCTGTACAGACATCTAAAGTGTTCATCAGATTCCCACGCTGATTTCCTTCTTGTTGCTCCGTCAACCCTTTTGTAATTTTCCATGTCCCCCAACATCTAACCCTCTGTTAAGGTCACCGTTTTTATACTTACATTGTACTTTAAGATATTGTTCACATTTTTGAAGTATTAACATGGAAAGGATCAGTTGAATTTTACATTGATCCAATTTCCCACTCGCATCTGCTTCTGATCGTGCAGTCTTTTTAACAGAATTTATTTCTGAATCTGGATGAAAACAAGCATCCTAGAAGATTTTGTTCATATTTTGTGTAATGGATAGGCACCTAGTAAGTTGGGCTGTTCTGGAATGCTGCAATCCACTATACAGAACACAAGTACAAAGGCAATTCTGACAACTTAAACTGGACCGTGGTGATTAGTGTGTCACTACTGACTGATAGAGCTCAGCACTCATCCTGTCCACGTAAGCTCTGTGCTTTTGTGTGCATTAATGGACGTGATTCTCTCATTGTCTGAATCCCTCGACCATCTCTGCCGATATTTTGATGAGACAGGACTGAGAATCAGCAGTTCATTTTTTTGCAGGAGATGTAGCAGGAGTTCCAGTTAGCTTATATTTTAGCTAACTCTAGAGAAATCAAATCCTCAGTATTTATATTTTGTGATGAGCCCCCTTGGAGGTCTGTTAGACTGAGCATTTCTTCAGGATCCTCTGCTGAGAATAGAGAGAACGAACTAACTTCTCCTGAAATTCCTGTGAATTTCACAAAGTTCTTCTATATAACTCAGTACCAGCCTGATCTCTGAGTAGGACATTATTTAACACATCAACTCAAATCTGTCACAAAGTTGTGACCTGCACCTCTGTAAAAATATCATAGTGAAAAATCAGGGCTGTACTAAGTTATACCAAACAGTGTTATAAAGTCACTTAATAAATACTTGAACTTCAGAAACAGATTGGGGTTTTATTACTATTTGCAAGATGGAAATATTGGAAACCAGGTACTACAAAGATGATTGTTGTTATAAGAAGAGTGATGATGCTTAAATTGATTGGTAACCTTTGTACAATCTTTATTTCCACACAAAGATACCCACTGAGAGACCATTATATAACAGGACTATTTCTGGCAAAGCGTATTTGTTTTGTAGCACAGCAGAGGTTGAAGAGAGAAGGCAACTGCCAATTTATTGAAATTCAGAGCTTGGATTAGTTGAGAATAACAGAATAAAAGACTGTGAAAAATGGCCGATGTTGGTATGGTGGGTCCCACACTTTTCTTGGTGGGGGGCTAAGATACCACCCCTTGCCCATGCTCTTGGGGCACTGAGGGCCCCGCTAGTGGCTCAGGAAGGTGTTAGAGGAGGGAAGCGGGAGAGGGGTCTGGGTTTGCTCCTCACTCTGAGCCCCAGCCCCTCTCAACCCCTGCGGGTTTCTTACCCTTTTCTCCTTGGGTAGGGTTACCCTCGGTCCTTGACACTGGGGGAGGGAGTTTCCCTGCCCTGCTGGGGCAGGGTCTCCCTTCCTTCGGTTCTCTGGTCTTTCAAATCTCAGTAATATATTTCCAAACTCCAGTCCTCTCTCCTTCCTCACACACCCTGACTGACTGAAGCAATGGGTTTTATTAGGTTCCTGTCAGGGCCTTAATTGACTACAGGTGCTCCAATTAACTTGTAGCAACCCTCCCTAGCCTTAATTAGCCTAGGGCTTATATATCTCCCCTCTCCCACTGCTCCCTGGCCCTCCTGTATCACAAGACATTTAAAATACTGTGTTAGGTGCTACACTGATGGGCACTATAAAAATCATTGATAGAACTGAGGACAGATACTTGTTACATATACACGAAGAACTGAGGACACTGTCTAGTTTTGCCATTAGAACCACTCAGTCTGTAAAATGAATGAATGTCCATGTCATGTAGGAACACAAGATCTGTTATACCGTAGCAACATGATCAGCCTTATGCCAAGATTATTTTCCCAGGCTGATTTTTTGACAGGCAAGCAAAATATCCTTATTTTTAACATTGTCATGTATTAGAGTTGGCAAACAGACTTGGTCCTTGGGCTAGTAAATTTTCATGACAGTTTTGCAAGGATATGCACCTGCACAATTGTTCAGTGTTGTACTGAATCCTCCCCAATCCCTACAGTGATGATCAGGGACCTCATAATAGTCTTCAGCTATGCTAAGGGCTGTTATAAAGAGGATGGTGATCAATTGTTCTCCATGTCCACTGAAGTTAGGATGAGAAGTAATGTGTTTAATATGCAGCAAGGGAGACTTGTCTTAGATATTAGGAAACACTTTCTAACTACAAGTGTAGTTAAACTCAGGAATAGGTTTCCAAAGTTGTGGAGTCCCCATTTTTGGAAGCTTTTAAAAACAAGCTGGACAAGCACCTGTCAGGGATGGGTTAGGAGGTTTTCTTGGTCCTGCCACAGCGCAGGAGGCTGGACTTGTTGATTTCTTGAGGTCCCTTCTAGCCTTACATTTCTAGGATTTTATGATTCTATGTCAACCAAACATTTAGTAATTTATAGGGGTAGATTGGTTACAGAAACTATCTGCACTAGATTTGATTGAACACTGCATTGGATATACATTCCACTTCAACAATCCTGATTTTCACCTAACTTTATTACACCAAAGCTTAAATATAAAATGTCTACAAATATAAAATATGATAAAACAGGAATCCACAGCATGTGTATATGCTGTTGGTTCAGCAATCCAGTGGCCCCACTGATTGTTGGGCAGGCTTCCTGCTTCTCTCGTTCTTAAATTTTTTTTTCTTAGTTTTTGTGTCTTTTCCTAGTTGATCTTCAAATTCTTGTTTGGCCTGCCTGATTATACTTTTACACTTGACTTGTCAGAGTTTATTCTCCTTTCTATTTTCCCCAGTAGGATTTTACTTCCAATTTTTAAAGGATGTCTTTTTGTCTGTAACCACTTATTACTCTGTTGTTCAGCTATGGTGGCATTTTTTTGGCATTTTTAAAAAAAATTGGGGTATACATTTAGTTTAAGCCTCTATTATGGTATTTTTTAAAAGTTTCCATGCAACTTGCAGGCATTTCACTCTTGTGACTGTTCTTTTTAATTTCCCTTTAACTAGTTTCTTCATTTTGTGTAGTTCCCCTTTTTGAAGTTAAACGCTGCTGTGGTCGGTTTCGTTGGTATTTCCCCCCTACAAGGATGTTAAATTTAATTACGTTATGGTTGCTATTACCAAGCAGTTCAACTATATTAATCTCTTGGACTAGATCCTTTGCACCACTTAGGACTACATCAAGTACTGCCTCTCCCCTTGTGGGTTCCAAGACTAGCTGCTACAAGAAGCAGTCATTAATGGTGTCTATAAATTTTTTCTCTGCATCCTGTCCCTATGACACTCCCTGGTAATATACCTCAGAATGATATTAGCCTTCTTTGCAATTGCATCACTTTTTTGAATAATATTCAATTTGTGATTCAGTATAACTCTCAGATCCTTTTCAGCAGTACTACCACCTTGCCAGTTAGTACCCATTTTATAGTTTTGCTTTCCTTCCTAAGTGAAGTCCTTTGTACTTGTCTTTATCAAATTTCATCTTAATATATTCTCAGAAGAATCATCAAAAAGATGATACATTATTCTAATATATATTGTACATCCTGTACTCCCAGGGCTAAAGGGGGCATAGAAAACTTTTATAAGTTTAAATGTACTGATATATGGTGGTGGGAACAGTAGAGAGAATGAATGAATGAATTCTCAAAAAGAACAGGAGTACTTGTGGCACCTTAGAGACTAACAAATTTATTTGAGCATAAGCTTTCGTGGGCTACAACCCACTTCTTCAGATGCATACTGTAGCCCACGAAAGCTTATGTTCAAATAAATTTGTTAGTCTCTAAGGTGCCACAAGTACTCCTGTTCTTTTTGAGAATTCATTCATTCATTCTCTCTACTGTTCCCACCACCATATATCAGTACATTTAAACTTATAAAAGTTTTCTATGCCCCCTTTAGGCTGAGGGAGCTTGCTGGCAGCAGCTGCTGTCTCAACTTGCTGATCTACTTAAAAAACAGTGTACTTAGAGTGGGGTCAGTGTACTTTAAAGGGGCAATGCGCGTCTCTCTCTCTCTCTCACACACACACACGGTGTGTGTCTCTGTTCCTCTCTCCTCCCTCCATTCCTGCTGCCTTGTAGAGTGCGAGGCTACATTAACAACATGTTAACTCTTCAGGACTCAGCCGAGTGCTAGTTCATCATTTAGCAGTAAGGCATTCCCTGGGAAATAGCCCACCCTCTTCTACCCTTTGACCACCACTTCAACCAAGCTTCACAATCATCATTGCTATGTACAGTATTAAATTGTTTAAAACTTTACTGTGTGTGTGTGTGTGTATATATATATGTGTGTGTGTGTGTGTGTATGTATGTATATATATATGTATGCATATAGTCTTTTGTCTGGTGAAAAAAAAATTCCCTGGAACCTAACCTCCCCTATTTACATTAATTCTTATGGGGAAATTGGATTCTCTTAACATCGTTTCGCTTAAAGTAGCATTTTTCAGGAACATAACTACAACGTTAAGCGAGGTATTTACTAGGTGACTGCACTCACCCTCAGCGCTGCAGGTAGGATTTACAGGGTGCAGTCACACACAGGTTAGGTTAGTGATTCTGGTAGTCTTTTTTAAGCTAATGGGATTTTACATTTTCTGCTCTTCAGCCTACCCAGTAGGCATCTGATAAAATTCCCCTCAGCTTTGATGGAATCTTTCTGAATGAAGCAGCTGGCAATTTACAGTTTATTTTTCTAACCCATGCAGTTAAGAAATATAGCTTACTTCCACTCTTGAGCAGGCGTTTTTCTTCCTCCTTCAGCCTGTTCTGCATCAGGCGTAGTGTGTTTTCTGCTTCCTGCAAGGAGTGAATACATCAGAATCAGAACAGCTGCCACATTCCCAGGTCAGGTAGCTAATCAGATGCTCCAATTAAGGGCACTTAGGAGAAGATTGAGACTAGAGAATTTCAGGATGAGAAGTGTTTCAGAAAGAAATGGTCTTCATATAAATTGGGGCATTCATCGCCTCTTTGACCACAGGGGAAGGATTTAAGGAATAAATAGAGGCAAAGCAGTGCACAGGGAGTCAGCCATACAACTCCCAATGAGAGTCATGTGACTAAGCCCTCATTCACCACATTGAAAATGAGACCAACTGTCTCAATCCCATGCACAATTACAGCCATTACTATGTGAAAGGTGCTTCCCGTGGAAAGGAAAAGAAGGTCTAAGGTAACTATGGTTCAATGACCAAGTATGGGGATTGAGAGCAAAGGCAAAGAACAGGTGGCTAGAACAGCGGCTGATGTACTAATAAACAGTGATGAGTTTCTGGAAAGCAGGATTTCCCATAAAAAACAGTGACTCTCAATTCATTAAAAGGCCTGAGTCTAATGAGCAAGAACAATATAGAAGCAATTATAAAGTGGCCTTTAGGCACTGCAAAATCCTAGTCTGGCAGGGGTAAATGGCTAGTTAGAAATGCTTCTATTAAACTGTAAAGGAAGAGATGTGCTAAGTATTATTTGGGATTTAGGAGAGTGGTGAACGGTGGAATAGAGGAAAGCTAGCAGGAGCACTGGTGTATTCGAGGGTAGCAACAGTTAGGCCACAGAAGTGGTACATTCCTCCCAGCTCAGCATTCTGAGGAAGAAAACATGCCTGCCCTTGTAAAAAGGACCAAGATGATGAGGGCAGATGTGCAGAATGAGTACCACAGACAGACAACTGCTTCACAGAGCAGTTAACACTCCCCTTAGCCTGAGTTCATCACAAAACAACTGCTGGCAGCAGAGTGTAAAAGGTGCAGTTGAGTTAATGAAGTTCTCCATCCTGTTAGGATTAAAATATAGCCAAGCCACTAAAATGCATGCCGGTGGGGTTGGATTCTTAGAAAGGATGTTCCATTGGTGCAACAGGGGGTCAAAGAATAAGAGCTTATTTTTGTAAGGATAGATTAGCTGATGAGAAAATTGTTGCATGCTTCAGAGCAGGACAGCAAGATGGACAATGCAGAACTGGAGATAAGAGGGTTACAAATTAGTGTAAATTTAGATCAGGTGGTTCAGAGTGCGGCAGAGAGAGTGGAGCTAAACTAGACTGGATAAACCTGTCAAGGTGTCTAAGTGTTCCCTAAAAGCATGGTGGTGGGGGTAGTGGATCAACATTGGCCCCTTTTATTTAAAAAAATGTATGGAAAGTAGAGCTATCAAGCGATTAAAAAAAATTAATCATGATTAATTGCACTGTTAAACAATAACAGAATACCATTTATTTAAATATTTTGGATGTTTTCTACATTTTCAAATATATTGATTTCAATTACAACACAGAATACTAAGTGTACAGTGCTCACTTTATATTTATTTTTGATTATAAATTGCACTGTAAAAAACAAAAGAAATAGTATATTTCAAGTCATCTAATATAAGTACTGTTGTGCAATCTCTTTATCGTGAAAGTTGAACTTACATATGTAGGATTATGTACATAAAATAACTGCATTCAAAAGTAAAACAATGTAAAACTTTAGCGCCTACAAGTCCACTCGGTCCTACTTCAGCCAATTGCTCAAACAAGTTTGGTTACATTTGCAGGAGATAATGCTGCCCACTTCTTGTTTATGATGTCACCTGAAAGTGAGAACAGGCTTTTGCATGGCACTGTTGTAACCAGCGTCGCAAGATATTTACATGCCAGATGCGCTAAAGATTCATATGCAGGGGTGGCCCTAGACTAGCTGCCTGAAACTGGTGCCCTAGGCGAAACATGCAATCAGTGTCCCCACCCCCAAGCCCTAAGAGCAGATCTAGGCTGAGGTTTTTGGTAAACTGGGAAACATTTTGCCCCTTTTTTCCTTTTAATGTTTTAAAAAAAATTTTTTTAACAGGCTTAATTATTCGGTTTGTCTGTCCGTCTGTCCAACCAATGTTTCTGAGATCAGATAAAATAGAGACACGAAATTTTCAGAACAGATTTGTACATGACAGCTAGATGATATTTCAATCCGA